TGTGTGTGTGTGTGTGTCGCGCACACGCGTACGGCCCGCAGGTTATACGGGATTAAATGTGCTAAATGCAACATCGGTTTCAGCAAGAACGACTTCGTGATGCGGGCCCGGTCTAAGGTCTACCACATCGAGTGTTTCCGATGCGTGGCCTGCAGCCGGCAGCTCATCCCGGGCGATGAGTTCGCTCTGCGGGAAGACGGGCTCTTCTGCCGAGCCGATCACGACGTGGTGGAGCGGGCCAGCCTGGGCCCCGGAGACCCGCTCAGCCCGCTGCACCCCGCCAGACCGCTGCAGATGGCAGGTAAATTCCCGGGCAGTGGGACGGAGGCAGGCCGCTAGGGCCGCTTCTCTAGAGAACCACACTTTGTTGGAATACGACACGTCTGGCTGTGACCTTTTTTTTTTTTTTTAAATTTTTCTCCTCTTTCCCCACAGTTCTATAGCCTCTTTCCTGCATGTGGATTTAGGCCTTGCCACCCTTAAAAATAAACGAATAAAGGCGGTGACTTGTTGTGCAGCGGTCAGGCTGCTGGACGCTGATGTCGGAAGGATTCACTGCTCGATGTTATTCAGGCAGACAAACTCCTCCTGCTGCCTAAACTAACGAGTGGAGCAGTTCTGCTTTCATATGTTACTTGTTGGGGTTTTCTGCTTCATTTGTCTCGTATATTAGGATCAGCTTATTTTGCAGTCAAGGCTGACAGGGACTGAGCAGGACTCTGCTGTCAGACATACACTAGTTTCATCCCTGCTGGAGGAGCTCTAAACAGCTGTGGTCAAATGTTGTGCAGTGCTTTGCATGTTTGCATGGGTCTGAGGTTAAAGAGTAGCTGCTGCCCGCTGCTGGTTCCTGTAATGACCTTGGATTCAGTGTGTCAGTCAGAGCTGCGCTGTTCTTCGACATTTCAATCTAAATTGTAGTGAGGCCCCGAGCTCCTGAAACCACATCACAGCTAAATAGCTCCGGCTGCTAATGGAGTATTTTATGCAGAATAGTAATTATATGCTCTCCGGGATGATCTTCTGAAGCTTCAGCATCAGTGTACAAATTGTTAGACTGCTAAACCAGACAGCTTCCTGCGGCCTCTGGCTGACTGCAGGAGACTCGTGTGTGGACAAAGCGGAACATTTATGGCTGCAGCTGCAGAAGACTTTTCAAAACTCGTGGGCCGATCTTGTCCGTTCATGTATTTCCTCAGAGTTGTTGGTGCTTGTAGCCTGCTCTGCTGGGAGATAAACTGATGGTTCCTTTGTTGGGTTCTTTTCCCATCCTTTCTCAACAGCAGAACCAATCTCGGCCCGGCAGCCTGCGCTGCGGCCTCACGTCCACAAACAGCCGGAGAAGACCACCCGGGTCCGAACGGTGCTGAATGAGAAGCAGCTGCACACGCTGCGGACCTGCTACAACGCCAACCCGAGGCCCGACGCCCTCATGAAGGAGCAGCTGGTGGAGATGACCGGCCTCAGCCCGAGAGTGATCCGGGTTTGGTTCCAGAACAAGCGGTGCAAGGACAAAAAGAGAAGCCTGCTGATGAAGCAGCTGCAGCAGCAGCAGCCCAACGACAAGACGGTAAGAGTCCGGAGGGCTGCTGAGCGCCCGTTACACCGTCCGTACTGACGGTATGCTGAAATACGCACGGAAGGGACGACAAAACGTATGTGTTGTATTCTTTGATCAAAGAGAGGCCCTAAATGTCGCTACTCTGTCTGCTCCTACATAATTAATCAAGATGTTTAACCCCTGAGTAAATTTGAGGTAGCCTCTGTTAGAGCGACATCACCAACAGGCTGAAGCTAGTGAAGCCCTTTTGATACATTCACTTCCCAATTCTACATTTGTCTCGGAGTAAAGAACAGCAGCCATGTAAAGGTCCCAGAGCTTCTGTTGAGGGGAGTGTGCATGAGGTGAGAGCTGATGAAGGCCTCCGGCTGTCCGAGGCGCAGCGACAGTCCGGACGGGCCAAGCAGGACTCTATCTGAGGATTTATGTCCCGAGCAGTTTGCATGTTTATTGATTGATTATTCTGCTGATTGACTGGTGGATTCATTTAAGAGCGCCCCCCTCCCTCCCCCCCGCCACACACACACACACGCACCAGAGCCTCCCACTCACACCCTATCCCATCATCATCTGTAATCACCCACAATGAAAGACGTGGGTGCTGACCACGACGCATCCTCCTCTTGCAGAACATCCAGGGAATGACGGGAACCCCGATGGTGGCAGCCAGTCCGGAGCGGCACGACGGCGGCATCCAGGCCAACCCGGTGGAGGTTCAGAGCTACCAGCCGCCCTGGAAGGTCCTCAGCGACTTCGCCCTGCAGAGCGACATCGACCAGCCGGCCTTCCAGCAATTGGTGCGTCGTTTTCTCTTCACTAGTCATTGACATGCTCGTGATTTAAATCCATGCATTTATTTTAAAATCTGTATTTTTTGATTTAATTTCGATTCGGAGCGTTTGACCCGCCGTGGTTCCTCCATGCAGAGCAATAAAATCTCATCCCTATGACATAGAGATTTTAGACATCAATTTGATCATACACATATGTGATGTTTGTGCTAGTTTTCATTATTATTTACATAGTTTTATTTTTTCTATGCTGTGTGTAAATTGCCTGGATCAATACCACGCGCACAATCTCATCTGCTTAATTGTTCGTTACTTCAGTAGAACATGAAGCGGGACAGCTGGTCCAGGTTCTGACTATTTTTTATTTTTTATTTTTAGGCCTAGTAACTAGTATTTAGTTCCAAAGACTGATGTCAATCAATATAACGGGTTAGCCATTTTTCTGCTCACTCGCTATGTTTAGACAGAAGAAGGCCAGGACTCTCTGGGATAAAAAGCAGCTGTCCAGTCAGAGATGTACCTGATGTGGAAAAGGAGGCACAGGGCTTTGGAGATAGATTTCATTCTTATTGATTTGTTTTTATTCATTTGCTTTATAGCGACACAAGCAGGACACTATCTCCAGAAATCTCGTGAATAAGCTCCGTGGCTGTAACAACTCATCCGTTCAAAGCATTTTATTCTTTAGTAAAATAGATAAACCATCAGACCGAACGTCTAGTTTGTTCTTCTTTTCTTAAATTCGATTAGTGCAAATATATCGACACTTGATCTAAAAAATAAAAAATAAAAAAGCGAACAACAATACAAATAGCAGACAAGGATAGCAGGCGTGATGTTCACTCTGAAGTCCGACATGTAAATTACAAGTAGTGGAAAGAAGACTTTCTGTGGCAGATGCGAGCTGCGTCGTGCGCTCCAGCTGCTTGGCAGCAAGAGAAAGGACGCGGCTTTGAAAATGGACGCTGCTGTCTTGTGCCTGCATCCTGCACATCTACCGAGTGTGGCTTTCTAGTCATCATCCTGACGCCAACTCTGGTGTGATGTATCCAGATTTTTCTAAGCGCTGCTTCATGCGTCCTGCAGGTGAGCTTCTCGGAGGGAGGACCAGGGTCGAACTCGACAGGCAGCGAGGTAGCGTCCATGTCGTCTCAGCTTCCAGACACGCCGAACAGCATGGTATCCAGTCCCATCGAGGCCTGAGCAGACTGAACTGAACTCACAGCCCTGTTCATCCCATTCCTCCCGACTGCACCAAACAACCCCCCTGGTTGTATTTTGACACTGTGAAGACAATCATGGGATTTTACCACAGCCACCCATTCTAGTTTCTATCCAGAAGAGACGGGCGGATGCGTCGTCGTGGCCGCTGCTGTCCGGCCACACGCCTGCTTACAGTTGCCAAAAAAGAAAAGACATCAACCATCGATAAATGGGACCTCTGTAGGAGAGAAATCTAAATCCTGTATTTGCGAAATGCTGTGCGCTACTTTGAATAAAAAAGAAACAATGACTGATAATTTTTAAAATTCGATTCACGCACCTCATCATATAATAGACCATCCGAAGGGGAACAGCACTGCTTTTCTTTATCTCATATGATTTCCTTTATGACCCAAGTACTAAAGCATTTGCAACAAGGTATACCTCTATTTTGCCACAAGCTTCGTGGGACATTTGTGTGAGTTAGTGTCCGTTCAAGAATATTTTTTTTCTCTCCCAAAGATGTGTAAATTAATAATAAGTTAAAAATACGTTAGCTCTGGAAGAAAATGTTTTGTTTATTCCCGTGCAACAAAAAAATATTTATTATTTATTGTCGAAAAACTTGCCACCTTTTGTGTAACTTTCTTAACTGAAGTAAAAAGGAAGAAAAAGCTTGTAGTTTGGTCTATGGATTTTCTGTCACAATTTAATGCTTATGTTCATTTATTTATTTGTTTTTATTTTTGATATTTTTTTTTCTTAAAATGATTTACAAATATGACAAGCAGTTTGGCCATCTTTGGAGTGCATTTTCTCAGCAAATATCCACACACGAGGTGGACCGTCAGCTGTTAATGGCCGGATGGGTAGATTGGTTAACTGGGTGTCATGTTGGTGAACATACTGTCTCAGTTTACTTAAAGTTTGCTACCAGCTTTAGAGCAAACTCCACTGCAGATCATATCGATCTTAACAGAATGTCTGAGCCCTAAAACCAGATGTTTTTTCGGGAGGGAAGTGATCAAGTCTGACAGTGAAATTAGAATATTTCAAGTGTTGATTTATTTAGAACCCATGGCCTTTATCTTGATTCTAGTGTGTTATCTTCATTCTTATTCTACAAAGACTGTTTATTCCAACTCTATGGCAACTACTACTGCTCTGGGACCACAGCAATAATGCCACCAGTGTACACATTTTTACAATTTTTAAGAAAAAAGTGAATTAAAATGACTTTAGTTGTTCCTGACTTTAAGGCTTTTTGCCGCAGTCCAGACAGGAAATACTTGAACACAAATAGAGGCAATATGTAGTCTGAATTTAAAGTGTTTGAACACTCTACTATATACTACATTAATATTTACTGGTACTCTGATTTTTCACATCAAAGCTCTGTCAGAAGTTGTTCTTTTTCCTCAGCTACAAAAAACAGGAATATGTGGAGGTAAAATTTGATGATCTAGTATTAGCTTTATGTTCTTCACACTGTTGTTGTATGGGGATTTGTGAGACCCGTTTCAAAAGCATTTTTTTTGTCTCTACCATAATAATAATAATAATAATAATAATAATTTAAAATGTGTTTTATATTCCTAGTGTATGTGTGCACTGACGGATGTATAGGTCGTAAACCTTACAAATGGAATCTGGTGGGTTAGTCCCTTTTGATTAATTTTCAGATTGTTACTTAAAAAGTGGACAAGATGAGCCTTAACGGAGAGTGAAATAAGCTGTCAGTGCATCACTGTCACTGGTACTCTGCTTAGGGCACTCTCCTCCTGTCTTATGAGCCTCCTGCTTAGCAACACATCTACAGCTTCCAGAAAGCCATGTGCTGAACCATCTTACCTGGAATTTACAATTAAAGTTGACTAGTGTTAGAATTATTTGACTTATTTATTTTTTATCGTAAAATTCTCATGAGGGCTCGGTAAAATCCAGCATGAATTCAAAAGCACATTACACAACACTCGCGACAAACAGCTTTTTGCTCTTTTAACTATAAAGAAGAACAGAAATTGACCAACCTGATTACAGATGCCATAGTTCACACAGACCCAAACAAATAACATAACAGCAACATACAATATGTTTTTTTATTTTTTTTTATTTTTTTAAAAGAATTTAATGTCTTTCGAGGAATTAACAGTCTGTGGAAGCTTTTATGGAAGGAACTCCAGGAAATGAACAATTTTTGTCATGCAAGCTTAATTGAAGTTCATATGATGAAATAAATGCCAGTAAATGTCCAAAGAAAGCTACTTAACCTAGGATAAAAAGCAATTGAATATTGTGAATTACTTAAATTTTTCCAGCCCAGATGGATGCCCTGTGTAGGAGACTGCTTAAAATTATTAGTAAATGAAAGAAAGCTGACGTGCCTCTTACAATACTGCTGCTATCTGGGATTTCAAGAGAAGAATGGATCAGTGAGATCAGACAGGCATCACTGGAAAAACAACGGGTGACAAGCTCATAGGCAGCAAAGCATATTCTATAAAGAAAACATGAGGGTGCAGTAATTCTTTTCTTCAGGATATTCGTTGATACTGCACAGTGCTGATGAAAACCTAATAATATGTTTGTATCCAGCTTGAATCCAACTGTAAAAAGTGACTGAGGCTGTCTCTCAGTACTGCAGCACTTCTGGGATAATGTTTCATCCTATTTGAATGAATGGAAACACAACATGTGGCTTTTATTCAAAATAACATAAATTCTGTACATCACATGTGAAGTTGTTTGTCCACAAAGATACAAAAAAGTTAGACAGAGCATCTAACTATACTATAGGTGATTTATTTATTTATTTATTTTTTGAGGTTTTAAACAGTCAGATGGCAAGGATTGTATGGAGCTGACCAGTGCAAATAGGGAAGCTTTAACAAAATGACTGTCATTGTAAAATGTCCTTTGTTAGAATTAAGAGTTATTTAATATACTATTGAGTAATTATGATGAGAAAATGTGATTTTGGTGAAGGATTTGTTATATGGAGGGTCATATATGTGTAAGTATAAATGAAATCCCCTCTACCCCAAGTGGTGTAGGTATAGTGTGTGCCAGGGTCCTCTACCACAGGTCTAGGAGTCTGAGGGTTCTGTGCAGTGTCTTGGCTCTTCCTACTACTTCCTTCCTCTGGGTATTGAACAGCTGGAGCCCCTCCCCTAGTTTAGGTGTTGCAACCTGAACATTTGTGTCACCACTGGGATCACTGTGGACTTCCCGTCCTACTTTCTCTACTTCTTGATTTTCTCATGCTCCTTCTTCCTAATGTTTCTGTCAGCTGGGAATGCCACATCTATCACAACTAACCAATACATCTGACACATACTACCCACCGAAACTTTCTTTCAGACCAAATACATGGCACATGGAATGGCAACAACACCCTCAGATAGCTGTGGCCTTCCCAGTAAGACAATGCGCAACAGCTCATTACAAAAACTGCACAGAAACTTCTTAAGGCAATTAACAAAGAGCTCATGACATTGACCTAGCCTCTAAACTCCCCAGATTCCTGTCCAACTGAGCATTTGCTGGATTTCCCCCAGAATGATTCCAATCCATGAAAGCTTCAGTATGCAAGCCACAGGACCCAAAGGATCTGCTGACAGACACCTGAGGACACCCCCAGAGGTCCTGTGTCCCACAGGATCACAACTGTTTAGGAAACACAAGGGGTGCCTACTCAGTATGAGGCAGGTGGTGTTAATGTTGTTACTGATTGGCATATATTTGATGACAGTTTGTGGCCATGACGGGAGGGACAAGTAGCACCAACTTAGTGTGATTTGGACTGCAGCTCATGACAGACGCTACAAAATGGAGAAATCTCATCAGGAGCTGATGCAGTAAAGACTTTTTATCAGGTGATTGAATTTCCTCCAGGATGTCCTTGTTCTGTCAGCCTTATGACAGCATTTCAGTAAGAACATTTTTGCAACCATGTTCATTTTGACTTGCTTAATGTTTTCCAGCCAGTGGTAACAGCCAAAGGTCACAAGGAAAGCCATGATCTCCTGAGTGAGTATGACATTCGATCTCTGCTGTTGAGCATCTCTGATTGCATTTTGCTTATCTGAAGACAAGATCACCAAGTGTTGGGCAGATATGCAATGAATCAGAATCATTGCATATCATCATTAATGAATTCGCAAATGACAAAACAATTGAACTATCACAAAACACATTTGTATAATCAATTTGCAAGGCTTTTTCATGAGCAGGAAAACTCAGAACAAATTTGGAGTGAACAAGTACAAAGGGCTTTATCTTTGTATGAATGGACTGCATCTGTCCCTTTTTCTCTACATAGAGGAAAATGCCACACTGCACCTGTCTGGTATTTTCATGTCTTGCCATGCCATATGGAGGTGTGCAGTACTGAAAGTGTCAGTGGCAATCCAGAATCTTGCACTGTAATTTTGGTGTCAAGATGCACTGCATTGTACACTTTTTGCCTGCTGCTCAAAGCAAGTCAACTGCACACCATCCAGCACACCTGTGCACCTAACTAGAGCCATTTTTGACATATGTTTTATGTCTGGTCTTTTTCATTTTCACTCAACACTTGAGGTGCGTTATGTGAAGCGTTCCGAGCATGATTAAAGTCAATTATCATGGTTGTGGTTAGAAAATGCTAACATTCAGTAGAAAACAAACAGTAAACTCCGGTGTCATGGTTGTGGTGGATGGATGGGTCAACAAACCATTGAATTATATCTCTGCAAGGTTTTAAATCATTCGGCAACTTCCACCATATTAATCTTCACAGGCTACTCACAACTCAGAAGACCGGTAGAGGTCACTTGTCAACAAACTCAAACATTTGAAAAAAGCAAAAACAAAAAAACGACCCAGAAAACACAAAAATATACCCCTCTAGCATCTGTTTCAGAAAGCAGATCTATCATGTTCCAACCAGAACTCACCACTGACTAACTCTGAGCTGTCAAACTCAGAATCTTTGATTTTAAAACAGGTGATAACAATTAGTTCAATCAACTCTAAATTGAGGTAACCTGAGTAAAGTCTGTGCATGAGAAGATAAAAACAAACAAACATCAATGCAACACATAAGATGATTCACCAAAACAACAGGAGGAACATCGTTGAGCTTTACCCCAATGGAGCTACAAAAAGTAAGGAATGGATTTGTAGAGTATGAGTATACATTTTATTAAAAAAAAAAAGCAACATAGTAGAAACAGCAAAAAAGTGAACTGGCCAGAGAATTGCTGATCGACTCAATGCATTACTATTAATTTAAAAAATATATATATATAATATAT